GTCTGCTCCACTGGAGGTCTAGAAAAGTGAATAAACAACCTGTGGTCATTTAAGTAGTTCTGCTCTAAAACAGTGATATAAACTGATCGAAGGAAAGAATTCCAAGAAGAATATATTTCTCCAGCACTGTACTACAGATTTTCCCACACATTCGTTTGAACACCCAAGCATTGCCTCTATGACCACAATCTCTGGTATAACAGGGAAAAAGAGTCTCTAAACAATTTAATTGTTGGGCCTGGAAGGCATGGAATTTCACCTGGCCAACAAAAGAACATGTACCCGGACATCCTGATTCTAAGAATTAATCATTTCTTTCTGTGCCAATTTTCTTTAATTACTCATCACAGCCTAAAATAGTTGGCCTGTATCCTTCATGATGAACAGCCCTTGTCTTCTGCCCAAAGATGTCTCTCTCACACTCCCCCAGCACACACACCTGTGTGGGGCCCTCTTGGGTCACATCTATGTCCAGTGGGAAAGCTTTTTGTACACATGGGATTATATGTAGTGTTCTAATGTACTGGCTGGGAAATACGTTACGGCTCTTAAACTAAAAAAAAAAAAAAAAAAAAGTTTTTAAAATTCCAAATATTGACAGTGTTTCCTTGAAGAAGAAAAAGCCATGCCCTAGAAATGGCAGAAAGACATTCTAGAAAGAGTAGACTGATTTTATCAAAGTGCCAATCAAATCTAGTTTAAAAAAATCAGAAGGCAGTCACCACCAGGCCTGTTTTTATGTATATTCTTGCCCAGTGGACAGAGTAGGACTCCAGGTCCCAGGCCCAACTCTGCCTGAAGGCCAGGTGATCTTAGTTTACTCAGGTAAACTCCCTGAGTTCCTATATCTCCTTCAGGAGAAACGGGGACCTAAATGGGTTCCCCTTTCTCACAGTGTTTAAGGATGAAGTGAAATGATGTACATGAAAGCATTCTGCAAAGGTATCATTACATATGCAAGAGGGTGAAGTCAGTCTATAGGCACGCCACTGAATATGCTTAGAGTGTTAGGCAGGATTTCCAGACAATTTAGGTTAAGACACCTTTATGGCCACCCTGAAGATTTCTGCCTCCTAATTTTACTCTCTTAACTTCTTCTTGACAATCCACCACCACTGTCCAAAAAGCTGAGCTGCTAGTAGCCTGTGTGGAACACAAAATGCCACATTCTCCTATGCTGTATTCTCAAGCCTGCCCATCACACTTCCCCAAGCATTCAGTTTGAACACCCCACACCTGTGTGCCCCTCAGAAGCCATAAATTCACATTCACAAAGCAGACAATAGAAGGAATTTCATGGAAAAGATAAAAAATATGTCTTAGGTGTCAAGCGTCCTTGATGTGTATAAGTGGCTATTTGCCAATCACTAGCCTTAAATATTAAGAAAAATATTAAGAGTCTCAATCAGTTTAATATTAATTAGAAAGAAAGAAAAAACACTCCAAAATCATCATGGAACTGATCGGTAATAACTGACTCACATACAACTCTTAAGAACATGTACACGTAGTTTCCAAAATGAGAAAACTAACTCCCCTAATAGCCTACTGAGCTGGTTAGGAAATTGAATTTTGAGGGCTTGAATATGGGAAGAGGATAAAGCCTCAGCCCCAGGGTTATCACACTCTAAGGCAGCAGTGTGGAGGGAAAGCCCATCAATCTTCTCTTTCATCAGCAGGTCTCTGCTCCTTCCTAATACCAAGTCAGTGACAATACTCCACTTTTAGGAAACAGAAGCATATTCAAATATTCATTTGGGGCAGGGTGAGGGAGAGTTGTGGGTGAAGAGATTCAAAAGGACATGACCGATGCAGAAGTTAAACGGAATACATTCAACTTGCCTGCCAGTCTGGGGTTTGACAGTGAACACAAAACATTCACTAACAAAACTTTGCAGTCCTGCTTTGAGGAAATATATAGGAGTCCAGTAATTTGTCTTTCCAGCTGACCTTCATTCTTCTCTCCTCTCTCAAGTACACCTGCACAAAGATTCCCTTCGTAAAGCCCTTAATTATTATCAAGAGCTGTAACCGTTCCTGTTGGAAATGCCAACTATCCAGTTTGCTGGTGCCTCATAAACTTGCCACTCTGCATATCCTAGTTACTGCCACTGCAGTTCTCTGAAAGGTACGTTGTGTATGTATTTAAAAGACAGGCTCTTGTTTTTCATAGCACAAAGGAAAACAGCAAACGACATCAGTCTGACACATTAGGAGTGCCTAGCAATAACAGGCACCTAAGTGTTTACTGAATTGAATAATGTATTAAACAGTAAAAAAAAATACTGGTTTATAAAAGAGTTTACATCTATGTCCTACAGGAAAACCTAGATTTCAAAACATGGGCACAGGAATGAAAAAACTGACATCTACAAATAAATTGGGCACAGACTTTAGCTCCTATTAAAGAGAGTATTTTAACTTAAGTAGCCACAATCACTCTGTATTTCATTTTAAATGTCTACAAGTTGTCATTTTTAATCGTTCCTAGGCTTCTCACTATTTGATAATATGTAATTTCAAGTAGCTTTCTTTTTTTTCTTTTTTTTTTTCCCGGTACGCGGGCCTCTCACTGCTGTGGGCCCCTCCCGTTGCGGAGTACAGGCTCCGGATGCGCAGGCTCAGCGGCCATGGCTCACGGGCCCAGCCGCCCCGCAGCACGTGGGATCCTCCCGGACTGGGGCATGAGCCCGCGTCCCCTGCATCGGCAGGTGGACTCCCAACCACTGCGCCATCTGGGAAGCCCTCAGGTAGCTTTCTTAATCTCACATATAATAAAAGTATCTCTTAAATGCAAAGATTATAAAGGAACCACATATTCTACTAATATTACATAAATAACAAATTTTTTTTTAATACCCTTGTATTTCAGTTTGGGATAACTAATGATGCAAACTGTAACCAAAGGCTTATACCACAATGGGACCCAAATTTGCTAAAAATTAAACCTATTAGCCCAATATGAATCTAACACGTATTCCAGGCCTCTGGTTTCCCATATACAAAATAGTTTTGTCTTTTCTTCAATTTACCCCAAAGTGTATAGGATTAAAACAAAAATACCAGAACCTGGCTTATCCCAAAAAAGGAAGGGAACTGAGGTTTTCTTTTGAGAAAAGGGAAGGAAGACAATTATTTCTAAGTAAGAATATACTGAAGAGCAAAACTATATAATCAACAAACAGACAGTGATTTCCAGGGGTTGGGGTTGAGTGGAGAGGGCTGACTACAAAGGGGACTTCTGGGGGTGATGGAACTGTTCCATGTCTTGATCATGGAGGTGACTGAGTATACCGCTGTGTGCAACTGTCAGAATTCACAGAGCGATACACCTAAAGAGGCTAGATTTTACCCTATGTAAATTACACTGCAATAAGCTTGACTTTTCAAAAATGTTATTATGTCTAAAACAGTGTGCTAGGCACTGAATGATGAAGCCTAAATTCAAGTATACATTTCTCAAGGGCTCTAGACATAATTATCAAAAAACTTACCAGTAAATGGTTCAAGTTCAGCCTTCAGCATTCTATATTATTTTATTATTTATAGATATTATAAAATGATTCAAAACATGAATTAACATTATTACAAGATGTATTTTGAATCATTACCTGTTGGATCACATATATAGAAAACTACATGTAATATTTTTTAAATGGACATATCAATATCTATTAAATGCTAATTATATTTTTAAGGGTTGAATTTACTACTAAATCTTACCTATTCCATATTATAAATAAACTGAGAAATGTAAATGATGATTAGATTCATTCACATCCCTCAGAACCACTACGAAAGATGTCCTAAATGTGTTTTTAATTGACTTCAGAGACTTATAGGACTTAAATGTTACAGGAGACTGGTGACTTCTGAAATAATGTTTCAGTAATTCAACTGAAAAAAAATGCTTGAACATAAAATGGAATCCTAAGGTTTATGCTTTAACACCTGCTGATAAACAGATCCTAACATTTCCCCCTCTTCTAGAATGTATGCAAAAACAGATTTTCTGCAGAAAAAAAAAGAGCCAAAGAATAAGTGTGCAACGTTCTTTTCATAGTCACAGTACATTTACTTTTTACAATACAGCACAAATCTTTCTTTCCACATGTTCACTTTTTAAATAACAAACATCCTTCTCCACACACAAAGAAAAACAGCCACTGTGAGTTTAGAAACTTAGAACAAAAATAAAAATTCCTAATGGAATGCCCATGTAAATACTAGAAATCTAACTAAACAAAATCCTTCCTCAAAAGTGTTGTGTACCACACCAAAGCACAAAGTTGCTTTTTAAAAAGCTAGTAAAATTGAGTCAATCTTATTTTCCTAAATAGAAATTCACCCGAATCCAAAGTTTTGCTTTTCACACACACACACACACACACACAAATATATATATATACACACAGATTCCCTCGACTTAATTCTATATCCAGTATTAATTAGGCAGGAACGGGAAAACAACAGGTTAAGAGAACAGCGGCTGGGGTTCCTCGTCAGCAAATAAAACAAGCCCAGATGATCTCAATCTTACTCAATCCGCCCAGGAAAGAAGTAACTCCGCTTTCTGATATGATTAAGGTTTGCCAGTTAATACATTTAAAAATACTAGTCACCTGCCTGATACATGTACATCTTCCCAGGCCCACAAAACTCAAGCATGAAGTGCCCTGGTCAACTTTTCTACCGTCACCGTTTCATCCACGGTTTGGAAATCCGTAGAAAATACAGGAGTTTTGCCTTTTAAAAAACATGTATATTAGCACAGTCAACCCGGAGCTTACAGGCACAAACCAATTAGTTAACTTGCCAGCGTCTTGAGTGAAAATATTTAGTCAAAACATGAAATTTCTGTTTCCAGTAGTTTCCAGACTGGTGGATTTGGCGGGGGGGTTGGGGGGTGGCTTTTATTGTTCTCAATATTACTATTTTCCCATCGCTGGATTTCAAACATTAAATCAGACAAATCGCACCTTGACCTAAGGGGCACTTACCCTACTTGTACACACCCGCCTAGCAATCACTGAAACGCGGCACTGCTTTTCCCGGACTAGTTCTGTTCCCCGCACCCGGCTGCGGCACCAGCTGCAGAGAGTGAGCGCACCTCGCGCAGCCCAGATCCCAAACGCAGCACCGGATGCCAGTCGCAGCCCTGGACGGTCCCGCTCTGGTCCGGCTCCCGCCGCCTATTCTCTGCCCTGCAAGTTTCCAGAGGCGTCTGTCGCAGCCTCCGCTCTCCCGGCGGCCTAGCAGCAGGGGCGAGGGAGTGGGTGTCAGAAGGTCCAGTAGCCGGAGACACTGCAAAGATCACTAACGAGGAGCCTCTCCTTCCTTTTAAAGACGCGAGGGGCGGGAGGGGGAGGGGGGAAAGAAGCCCAGAGCCCACGTGACCACCTAGCCAGTGGCCGGGAGATCTCTGGAGGAGCCGGACTACCCGCCTCGCGATCCATACTCACCTGCGCGACGTAGGAAGCCCCAGGGTAGGGGCTGTCACCGTCGAGCGCCTCCCAGTCACCCGCAGGAGCAGCAAAGCACAGACGGCGCCCCTCCCCCGGTCTTGGATTTGGGAGGTCTGGGGCGGGGCCTGAGAATATGCATTCCTAACCAGGTCCGGGGTGATGCTGAAAATGATGCTGCCGGGTTGGGGGCCACGCTTTGAGGGTCGGCTCCCCAGACCCTGAGCCACGTGAGTCTGAGAGGAGCTGGATGCTTTGGCGTCATTAAATACAGAAGTCTGACTAAGCATCTAGAGGTGAAACTATTTGCCCAATCGATTCCCAGCGGCAAGGGCAGCCTCGAGCCCCGGGAGAGGCAAAGCCACGCGGCATGGTCGGGAGGTGGAAGGTGTGGGTTCTCATCTTTCAAGGGCTGGCGGGGAAGGCCTTTCGCTCTAGAGCAAAGATCCCAGGAACCTCCTCAAACTCACCTACTGCAAGGAAGCGCGTGGGTGAAGGACGAGGGAGGGGAGGTGGTTCCGTGCTTCTCTGCGGAGACGCCCCTCTTCCCTGGCTCCGCCTCCGTCAAACTCTCTCCGCAGGCGAGCGCCCCCTGGTGGCAGCTTCTGTTCCCCAGGTCTGCACGGTACCTAAGCTCTCCTCACCCACCCCACCCGGCAGTGGTGCCCAGAGTGAGGACTAATAAGACTATTTGATAGTCACTAAGAAGCAACTTGCATCTTGATGGCAAAAATCGAAAAGAACGTAGCAGATGTCCCACAGGGCATTGTGAGACCCTAGTGCCACATTTGTGCCTAATTAATCATCAAACTACGGTTCTTGATGCGGTTGTGACTCCAGATCTCTGATGCAGGAAGACCAAAGGGGCATATGGAGGGAAACTTTTACAGCGTTAAGTGTTGGGGTTTAACCAAAATAGCCTAGAGGGATGCTAGTGTGCTCTGGGTTTGTAAGAGTGAAGTCCACAGGTCCACAGGTAGCGGAGACAGTCTCCAAATGTGGAGAGCCACCTACCTTATAAACAATGGTTATCAAAAATTTGTACCCTCCCCACCTCCAAGGTTCATTAAAGCTTGGACTCCTGGATTCTTACAAGTTGTGGGGCAGAGTTTCCTGATTCTTGAGGCTGAGAACTTTGGACGGGAGGGTGTAGAGCTGACAAGATCCCTGTGGAGGATGGTAGAAGACAAGATGCTTATCTTTGCCAATCTCTGCTCCCCTGTTCCCTTTCCTGGGTTTTTCTCCAGGTGCCCAAATACCCGTATTCTTTTTCCTTCTTTCCACCTTAAGGAGAAAATTTTAAAGGATGGTTTTTAAAAATCAGTTCCATTTGGTAGTACTTGTCAACAAGATACCTCTGCAATGGAAATTATTATGAAGGAATTTCAGTCATGAGCCAACAAGCAGACAAAGATGATGTGAGGGTTAAGAAAACTGACATCTATTAAGTATCTGCATCATGCCAGAGAGTGTGCTAAGTGCTTGCACAGCATCTCATTTAATCCTCATTGACCCCACTTCTCAGATGAGGAAACTGAGGCTCACAGAGCTTATATCAGTTACCTGAAGCCATGCATAGTGAGGAAAGAACCCAGTAGCAACAATGCTTTCATAAACAGCTACCACTTATTGGGCATTTAGCCATGCTCCACTTTCTACATATTATCTCAGTTTATACACAACAAGCCTCTGAATCAATTCTGCTACTAATTAACCCCATTTTATGATTGAGAAAATGGCCAGTCAGTGACTGAGAAGAACTTGAACCTAGGCCAGAGCCCAAGACTGTTTTCTTCCATACCACAGCTGCAATCAATTGGAAATGAAGATGGCTTGAATGTCAGGACATTATATCTCCTGCAGACAAGCCCCACCTTAAAGCCTCCTGCCACCTGTGAGAAAAGCTTCTGCTCAACCCTGGAACTAGAGCTCCCTGTTTGCTGTAGTGCTTCCTTCAGAAGTCATTCCACTCACAGGAACAGCATGTTCTCTTTTTAAAGACCCTCAAACACCCACAGAAGCTGTTTGTTACACAAGGAAACCCCATTGCAGGAAATATTAAGCAAAGAGAATGAATGGGAGTGAGTACATTTCCTTCTGACTCACCCTGTGGATCGAGAAAGATAATGGCACCTTAGGGATGGAACCTTTGCCAGGTTGAACGCAGAGAGTGGAGAGGGTGACTACTCCAACTCCCCCAAACCAAGACGAAAACTAAGAAGGGATTCCTGAAACAGTTAAGTACCATTAGCTAGGCCAAAAAGCACCTGAAATCTAGTGTTGAGGATGTGCCTCTGTTCAGCAGGGTCCCAGCCTCACTTCCACCTTACTCATGACCTGCCTAAGGAAGCACCCACATGGTATGACATTGAAAGGCTTTCCTCTCCCCCAAATATCCTACAACAAGGACTGAAGTCCTCACCATTCAGTCGTCCTTTGGAGTTACAGCATTGGATTGTTAAAATTCAGTTATGTTATATATGATGGGTAATATTAATTTACTAGCATTTATAATTACACTCATGAGATGAGCTTGCAAGATGAGCTAAATGTCACCTGGGAAATCAAAGGAAGTCAGAGTAAGAAAGGCACGTTTTGTTGTAGGAGAAAGGAAAGCATCTCCATTGGGGTGTACCTTCCTCATCTTTTCATCCCACCCCTTTTCTGTCTTGAGAAGCCAAGAGCCTAAGTAAAGTCAAGACCATGACAGCCCAGCAGAACGTGTACACTGCCTCCCCCAACAGTGGTCAGCCTGCCTGTCAACACCACCTGCACTGTGATTGCACCGTGCACGTCTTGTGTCTCTAGTACCCCCATGGTAGCATGGTGCCCATAGCACCCACCTAATACAACTCAGGCATTCAACAAGTACCTGCTGAAGGCTTCAACTTGGAAAGATCAGAGGGAAAGGGGAAGGATTTTCTGTAGCAAAGAAACTAGCAAGAGGCTAAATAAATAAAATCCTGTTGAAGACAAGAAAGCAAAAGCTGATGTGCAAAAGTGTATAGGTGAAGGAGTCTTACAATGACTAGAAGAGTGTCATGGTATAGGATGGCTTGGGACTATCACTCTTCCTCTTCTCAGGCTGAGGCCAAGTGGGAGGATTTAGGTCCTGGGATGCTCCTACCTGCTCCAAAGAATAACAAGATCAGGATCCTTCTTCATATTATGTGGGTATAAATTGCTGTTTTAAGAGATCTGGGAGATAAAACCCTAAGGTTATGGAATAATAAAAGAGAAGGGAAAGATTCATTGCACCTGCAATAGCACATTTATTTGATGTTGATGAATTGGGAAGGTGGTATTACTAATGCAATGTATTAGAGGTTATCTCAGCTGCTCATGAATCAGGGTTCGTAAAATAGAATTTGATATTTGAAAGTTGAATTTGGGTAGAGCTCTTCAGGATCATGTCTTTTATAGAAATAAAAATGAACCTAATATTTATGCAATCTTTCTGGCCCCAGTACCACAATAGGCAGGCCTGCACAGATGGGTTCATTTTATTCATTTAATCCTCATAACAACCCTGTGGCCATCTCTGCTTTATAGATTGGGAAAATGAGGCACAGAGAGATGCCTTTTTCGGTGATATCACCCATGTGCATGTGGCAGAGTGAAAGTTCCAACCCAGTGTTATCTGTCTACCTGCTAATCCTTTGCTTTCTCTGCTGTTATCCTGTGATGTTTTTCTTATTTGTTATGTAAACTGAGGCATATTTGTCCTGTAGAGCCTGGTTATTGCTGAATGAATTTTTGCCAAGTTCTTGTCTAGGTCTGTGTGCATATTTACATAACTTTATTCTTTACTGACATGTGTTTGACTGGAGCCTCTAGTAAGGTGACCAAGGACATAAGCAGCAAGGTAGACCTAACCTGATACCGGGGCACACAGACCACAGGACAAGGTTATTCTGACCCTCAGTTGAAATGAACCACCTGGGCAGCCAGCAAGTGCAGCCAACTCCTTATAAGTCATCCTTATTTTTTTCAGTCTTGGTCTTTGACATTTGCAAACATACAGGTAAAATAACTTTTTGTCCTTCTACTGCTCCTTGAAGGTACTTAAATTCCACACAGATCTCTCACATACCTCGAGTTTCTAATTTTCTACCCACTGAAACCGAACGGTGTGAAGAATATACGTTCCTGTCCTCAGCCCCAACTCTGATTTAAGAAATTCTCTCTTGAGCTAGAAAAGCAACTAGCCCCTAGAGGTCACTGACGTGAATTTGAATACCCAGTTGAGAAAGAAAATGTTAAAGAACTGTTAGAAATGGTGGGAAATTGTAATATGCAATTTCACAGATGACTCAAATGCTATTCTAGAAATGCAGCTTCCTTACCTCTTCTGGCACAGAATAATATAATATTAATAACAGGTCAGACAGTGTAATATTCCCAGAAATAAGGTCAAAAAGGAGATAGGGGATAGACATACATGGCTTAAGGGACCACAGATTCTCATAAGACTGTCTGATTCCAAAGAGTTTAGAATCCAAAAAAACTAATTTTTTTTTTACTTGTAAATGTATTTGACATTTTCAAGTTCCTTGTTCATATCGTGGAAAGTTACTAGAAATGTCTCACATTGTCCTTTAGACCCACATCAACTAACATTCCAGGGACGCACATTGCATTAGTGGCTTTTTTATTAACATCGTTATTAGAATATAATTGCTTTACAGTGATGTGTTAGTTTCTGCTGTATAACAAAGTGCATTAGTGGCTTTTATAAAAAATATAGACCCTGTCTTTTGTGTACAGAGAGAAGGCGCTTCTTTCACATATGTTACTGCTTGAGCTGATGAGCCTAGCTGGAGAAATAAATGGTCTTCTGCAGTATTCAATCCCCTCCTTTGCTGGGAATTACAGCCAGGAAATAAACTTCTCCAGATAGTTCATATAGCCTCTGAGGTACTGCCAATGTTTTCTAACGTACTAGTACTCCTGCATTTTCCCCTTCTTTTTACAGATCTACATTTTTTTCCTATCCATCCAGGCAGTTTTGCTCACTAATCTCTCCTTCATGGTCCTGCCCATGTCCAGGCCACAGGCTTCCTCAGCTTGCTCCCACCCACCAGCCACAGCTTACTAAGAACTGCCACCCTAGGTGAACATTGACTTTTACAGTTAACAGATCACTTACGTGGCCATGTAATGCTTCATTTTCACACCAACTCTGTGACAATGATTTTATCCCCATTTTGCAGATAAAGAAACTTAAGTGAATTCTCCAGGCTTACAATTACAGGAACCCAGGTCATCTGACACGTCATGTAGATCCATACATGCCTCCCCTTGACAGATTCGTTTCCTGCATTCCAAGCACTGGGGTCTCTGAATGTCCTTCATAATGCTACTGCTGGTATCCCTAGGCTTATGTCAGCCTGACCCCATCCCTTCCCTCTACCCTTCCCACCCTATGTCAGTCTAAAATACCATTCAAGGGAGAACATTATTGACAGCTTCTTTAGTGTTTTTTCACCTTAAAATTATTCTGACACTCGACATTACATTTATTCTTTCATAAAACACTCTTTTTCTGAGAATGCTTCTTGATGTTATGCATTTACATCTTTGTGAAAATGCCCCAGTAACGCTCAAAAACAATAATGCTTTAAGTGCCCACCTGAAACACAAAAGCATATGAAGATGTCTACTCACAGATGATGAAGAGGAGGATGGAGGAGATGGAAGAGTCTATGACTGCCATTCATTCAACAATTGCTTGTAAACCCTCTATCTGCACTAATTCATTTAAACCTCAAAACAGTCTCACAAGGTACGTACAATTTAAGTTTCCATTTAACAAATGAGAAGACTAAGGCTCAGAAAGTTTAAGTAACTTGCCCAATATCGCATAGCTAGTAAAGTATGGGCAGAGGGGTCAAACCAGATCTGTTTCAGTCTAATGCCCATTCTCTCTGAACTGTTGATCTCCCTGAGGCTTTACACTTTAGGTAAAAAGAGAAGACAAATGCCTAAGAAATGACCTACAAGACCTGTTAAAAATGATAAGGGACAAATAAATGGTGGAGACCGGGAGTTTTGTGGGCATTCGGAGGACAAGAAGTCACTGTCCTGTGTGTCTGAGTTCCTCTTAGAGAGAGATTTACATTAACCCCCCAACCCCACCCCAGAGCTCACTACCTGAGCTGGCTGAATTTCAGACACAGAGAAAGCGCTGATCTCCCCTGGGGGCTCCTCCGGATTCTACAGGTGCCCAGGCCCAGCTTTGCACTGTTCCCTCAGAATCCCTCATTATTCCACTCTTGCCTCTGGAATCTGCATTCAGAGCACAGGGCTTCACAGATAGGACAGTAAGCGCAAAGGCACCAGTGCAGGCAGGCCACAAGAGCCCACAGCAGGATGGAGCCCAGGCTTGGGGGTCAGTGGGTCCTGGGTTGGGTTTTCAGCCCGACCACTTACCAGTTGTTTGCCCTTGAACACTTTTCTGGCCTCTTTGATCTTCCTCTGTAAAATGGGAAGAATATAAGAATCTACTTCAGAGGTTTGTTGTAAGGATGAAAAGAAAGGATGAATTGTAACATGCCTGACACCTGGTAAATTCTCAATAAATGATAACTTTAAGAAACACAGGGACTTCCCTGGTGGTCCAGTGGGTAAGACTCCGAGCTCCCAATGCAGAGGGCCTGGGTTCGATCCCTGGTCGGGGAACTAGATCCCACATACATGCAGCAACTAAGAGTTCACATGCCGCAACTGAGAAGCCCGTGTGCCACAACTAAAAGATCCCACATGCTGCAACAAAGATCCCACGTGCCACAACTGAGACCCAACTAACACCTAAATAAATAAATATTTTTAAAAAAAATTTAAGAAAAAAAAATAAAACAATACAGCAGTCCTTGGAACAAAGGGCTTCACAGATATAAGGAAGACTTGGCCTAGGAAAGGGCAAGGAGCCAGTTTTCTAATATGAGATGTTTGGGATTGGAGGGTGGAGGGGTAGTAGAGAAATTATATGCCCTGCCTGGAGTTAGTCCTAGAACTCTGAATACATCTCTTCAGGCAAACCCAGTTGTAAAGTAAGTCAGAGAAAGACCTACTGACAGACGACCAAATTGTAAGACTAATTTAGAGCAATGTTTCCCCACATTCCTGGATCATAAGAGTTACCTGGGTCACTTGTTGAAAATACAGATCCCCAGCAGAGGTCTGAGATATCAGCTAGGAAGACCCTGAGCTCATCTCCTCCCAGGGACATGCAAAATCTACACCTACATACAGAGTAATTCCTCCTGAAGAAGACCTGAGGGCTGGTTGCACATCTGTTGCACATAGAAGAACCTCACAGTAACCTGTAGAAAAGATGGAGACACCTTCTCCAGGGGAACACCCCTCTCACATGGAAACCTGCAGTAAGGAGGGATACTGCTGAGGGGCCTAAGTGCAAGCTTGCCAACCCTGTGACACAGCAAGAAAACAGCAATTTAAAGGGTACCTAGAAGATACTGGAAGGAAATTCATTTACTAACCCTAGAGCTTCTGCTAAACAGGCAGGGAACTGCTGGAGCCCTCTCTGGGGTCAGAGGTGCTGGCAAGTGCCACTGTTTAAGTTCCCCCAGGACCCCCTCATGCCTGTTCCAGCTCCAGATGTCCTACTAAGGCAGCCTTGGGTGCAGTGCGCCCCAGGACAGCCCCAGGTCTGCACTCACTCCAGCTCCAGATGTCTCCCTAAGCTGGCCTCAGTGCAGTGCTCCCCAGGGAATTCCCTGGGCTGCATCCACTGTAGCTCCAGCTGGTCTGCTAAAGCCACCAGATACAAGCAGTCTATACAGGGGAAGCTCCTACACAAGGCCACTCCTTCAAGACCGGGAGAGGTAGCTGTTTCACTTAACTCATAGAAACAAAAAACGTCAAACAAAAGGAAGAGATAGAGGAATATGTTCCAAATGGAAGTACAAAATAAAACCCCAGCCGGGGGGGCAGGGGGCGGGGCAGGAAGCCCTAATGAAATGGAGATAAGTAGCTTACCTGTTAAGAGTTAGAAGAAATAGTCATAAAGATGCTCACCAAACTTGGGAGAAGAATGAAGAAACCCAGTAAAAACTTCGACAAAAACATAGAAAATATCTAGGAAAGAACCAATCAGAGCTGAAGAATACAATAACCGAAATTAAAAATACACTGGAGGGAATCAACAGCAGATTAGATAATTCAGAAGAACAGACAGGCAAAATGGAAGACAGAATAGTAGAAATCACTCAATCAGAACAGCAAAAAGAAAAAAAAATTAAATGATGAGAATTTAAAGGACCTCTGGAACAACATCAAGCATACTAAATTCACATTATAGGGGTCCCAGAAGAAGAGAAAGAGAAAGGGACAGAAATTTTATTTGAAGAAATAATGCCTGAAAAGTTCCGTAACCTGTGGAAGGAAACAGATAGTCAGGTCTAGGAAGCACGGAGAGTCCCAAGCAGGAGTCCCTAACAAAATGGTGTGGATCTCCCAAAGAGATCCACACCAAGACATATTATAATTAAAATGGCAAAAGTTAAAGATAAAGAGAGAATCTTAAAGGAAGCAAGAGAAAAACAACCAATCACATACAAGGGAAACCCATAAGACTATTAGCTGCTTTTTCAACATAAACTTTACAGTCCAGAAAGGAGTGGCAGGATATATTTAAAGTGCTGAAAGGAAAAAAACTTACAACCTAGAATACTGTATCTGGCAAGGTTATCATTCATAAATAAAGGAGAGAAAAAGAATTTCCTTGACAAGCAAAAACTAAAGGAGTTCATCACCACTAAACTGTCCTTATGAGAAATGTTAAAGGGTCTACTTTAAATGTAAAAGAAAAGGTCACAACTAGAAATAAGAAAATAAATGAAAGAAAAAAATTTCACTGGTAAAGGCAAACATATAGTAAAGGGAGTGGATCATCCAATTAAAAGCTAGTTTGAAGGTTAAAAGACAAAAGTAGTACAATCAACTATAACTACAATAAGGGATAGACAAGATGAAAAGATATAAAATATGGCATCAAAAACATAAAACGTGATGAGGGGCATAAAAAATGTAGTGTTTTTAGAATGCCTTCAAACTTAAGCTACTTTCAGCCTAAAATAGACAGCTATACGTACTGGTCAATATATATGAACCTCATGGTAACCACAAAACAAAAACCTACAATGAATACACAAAAAATAAAGAGTAAGGAATCCAAAGTAACACTAAAGGAATTCATCAAAAGAAGAAATCAATAGAAGACAGGAACACAGAAGAACTACAAAACAACTAGAAAACAATTAACAAGAGGGCAATAAGGATAAACCTATCAATACTTACTTTAAATGTAAACAGACTAAATGTTCCAATCAAAAGACATAGGGTAGCTGAATGGATTTTTTTTTTTTTTTTTTTTTTTTTTTTGCGGTAGCGGGCCTCTCACTGCTGTGGCCTCTCCTGTTGCAGAGCACAGGCTCCGGATGCGCAGGCCCAGCAGCCATGGCTCACGAGCCCAGCCGCTCCACGGCACGTGGGATCTTCCCAGACCGGGGCACGAACCCATGTCCCCTGCATCGGCAGGCAGACTCCCAACCACTGCGCCACCAGGGAAGCCCTAAATGGATTTTTTTTAAAGACCTATGTATATGCTGCCTACAAGAGACTCACCTCAGAGCTCAAGACACACATAAACCAAAAGTGAAGGGATAGAAAAATATATTCCATGCAAATGGAATTAAAAAGAAAGATGGGGAGTGGGTAGCAATACTCATATCGGACAAAATGGACTTTAAAACAAAGATTGCAAAATAAGACAAAGAAGGGCATTACATAATGATAAAGAGATCAATCCAACAAGAGAATATAACATTTGTAAACATTTATGCACCCAACATAGAAGCACATCAATATATAAAGCAAATATTAACAGAAATAAATGAAGAAATAGACAGCAATACAATAATAGTAGGGGACTTTAATACCCCATTTATCAATGGACAGATCATTCAGACAGAAAATCAATAAGAAAACACTGGCCTTAAGAATATACAGGGGCTTCCCTGGTGGCACAGTGGTTGAGAGTCTGCCTGCCGATGCAGGGGACACGGGTTCATGCCCCGGTCCAGGAAGATCCCACATGCCGTGGAGCAGCTAGGCCCATGAGCCATGGCCACTGACCCTGCACGTCTGGAGCCTGTGCTCCACAACGGGGGAGGCCACAGCAGTGAGAGGCCCGCGTACCGTAAAAAAAAAAAGAATATACAATGGAGGAAAGACAGTCTCCTCAATAAGTGGTGCTGGGAAAACTGGACAGCTGCATGTAAAAGAATGAAATTAGAACATTCTCTAATACC